AAGCCTGGCTCTTGTGGAAAAGGCAAGGGGAAAAGAAGGGAAACTGTTACAGCCTTTCAGTTAATTCCCTGAATATGCCTCTACAATGGACTGTGTTTTACCTTTCCAATGTCTTCCTCTGAGCTGTCCTTGCCTTTTTGCAAGCCTGAGGGCTTTGGCCACAAAGAGATCAGTGGCCTGTCATTGGGGGAACCTTGGAACCTTGTCTCCATTTGGTGGCTTCCAGGAGGAGGTGCTGAACTGGCTGGAAGCGTGATGAGTTTGTAGTTCATGCTTTTATCATGTTTAAGGCCTTTTTTTTTTTCTTTTTAGAGACAGACCATATCCCAAAATGGAGGAAGTTATAGGATTTCTAGAATATGTTAAGATATGTATGAACTAATCCCGCTGGGGGAGTGCCTGGGGCACACCTAAAATCATCGTGGAGTGCTGTGTCCAGTTCTGGGCCCTCATGGAAGAGACACTGAGGGGCTGGAGCATGTCCAGGGAAGGGAACGGAGCTGGGGAAGGATCTGGAGCAGCAGGAGCAGCTGAGGGAGCTGGGGGGGCTCAGCCTGGAGAAAAGGAGGCTCAGGGGGGACCTTCTGGCTCTGTAACCCCCTGACAGGAGGGGGGAGCTGGGGGGTTGGGCTCTGCTCCCAGGGAACAAGGGACAGGAGGAGAGGGAACGGCCTCAGGCTGGGCCAGGGGAGGGTCAGGTTGGACATCAGGAGGAATTGTTGTGTTTTCCAGCCTCTGGGAGCAGCAGTGGGGGGACAGAAACAGGCTGGGTGCAGGGAGCTGGCTGGCTGCTCTCCCAAAAAGGAGCCCATGGCATTTTACCCTCCAGGGTAGCCCTGCAAGTGAAGATATTCGAAGTTAAATGCAAAAAATAATCATGTTTACGTGAGCTGGAGCCCCAGCACTTGTCTGTTGGCTGATGGGCAATTAAACTCTCCCAACAGGTTTTCTGCCCAGACATGATAAGACAGGAGAGTGTGAGTGAGGTATTATGGACAGTTTCTGGATGCATCTTGTGCTGGGGGTTTACTCTGGGGGCTGATGCAAGGGGACATCTCCGTGGAACACCCTTTATGTTCATTTCACAACCGATTTGCTTCGAACAAATGCAGACATGTGTGATCTGCATGAGAAAAGCTCGCTGGGGACGGGCTCGGGGGCGGGCAGAGGGTGGCTGGGTGGGCTCGGGAAGGCCACCTTGGTGGCAGCCCAGCCTCCAGGGAGAGCAGCAGAGGCAGCTGACTGACTCCCAGAGCAGATTCGGTACCTGAGGGCGGAAAATTCGCTGGATGAGCGGGTCCTGCAAGCCCCGCTCAGCAAAATCTGTCTGAGCTGTTTTGTGCAGGGCTTGGTCTCAGAATTTATGTACCTTGGAGCAAAGAATGGCCAAAGCTTGTGGAAGGCATCGTTATCGCTAATCATGCAAAGCAAACCCGAGCTTCTGCAGTGCTGCTCTTCCAGGGACAAGGGCAGGGGTGGTGTTTTGGCGATGCAGAGGATGCCAGGGCAGGCAGAAAATTCCTGAGGCTTGTTGGCATAGGTGTGAGAAGGCAAAGAAAATTCCTGGGGCTTGCAGAGGCACTGTAGGGAGAGATGTTTTTGACTGCTGCCTTTCAGAGGAGACAGACAGAGGGCAGGGGCTCTGGACACTCTCCCCAGTTCTGCTGTTCTATCCCTTCCCATCTCAGACTGGGAGAGGTTGGTATCCTGGCTGCCATTGCCTCTGGCAACCTGTTGCCCTTGGCAACTCCCCTGCCCAGGTGCTTGTGCCCTTCTAACCAGCCTTTGGTCACAGCAGTGTAAAAGGGAGGGGTTCTGCTGGGGTTACTTCTATTTGAACTGACATTTCCCAGTTCTCTCCTCTCTTAATTAGTCCATTCCCTGCTTCTTTTCAATCCTGCTGGAAATCTTTCCGTGCAAGGGCATTACACAGCAGAGTATTTAGCCCAAGTAGATTAGGGAAAGGCAGGAAAAGCTTCTGATTGTGCTGTATCTGTAGCATAGGTGTTAAAGATGTATTTGTGAGCCAGTCAGAGAAGAATGCTGAGGAAATCCTGTTTGGGTTAATCTTGTTTAATTTTATAATAAAAAACAGATGGCTGGCCATCTGGAGCTTCTTGCAATCAAATATCTCACAATTAACAGTAATTTACTTGCCCTGAGACTTCCATGATCTTCATGTGCTTTTTTTTCCCCCTTCAACCTGTCTGTGTGGTCCCTTCCCAGGGTAGTGCTGAGTGTAAGCTGCCTGGGGAAAGGCGTGATGGAGGGGGTCCCTGGAGGCATCTGCTTTCCTCCTGGATTTTCCACTTACACCCCCAAAACTGGAGCCTAGGCAACGTATCTTGTGCTTTTCTGACCCTGTAGGACCCACTCTCAGAGTAAGCAAAGTGAAGGACTGTACATACCTACAGATGAGTCATGGCAAGATATGTAAGGCAGCACTTAAGGGGAACATACAAATTAGATCTACTCTTTTTACCAGGCTGTGGGAATTCTTCAGAGCTCGAAATGATTCTAATCTGAAGTGGGTTTGCTCCAGCAGTTTAAGTTATTGGATATAATTAAATGAGATGCAGGTGATCCTCAGCACTAGGAAAGCTTTCTGAGGGAATTATCAGCAAAATGGGATGCAGAGTGAAACCCACGGGGCACCTTCTTCTGTGCATTCTTATCTCCAGGAGGTTGAGAGGCCCTCAGGATTCATTATTTCCAGAGGTGACATTGGCAGTGGAGACTGGCCTCTTCAATAACTTCAGATCTCTTTTGAGTATGTCCTTCCCAACCAGCTGTGTAGTTGAATGGCATCAATAGTGAACGTGAATAAATGAATTCCAGATGAGGGATCTGCATGCCGGTAGGTAAGAGCTCTCCCAGGCATTCCTGGGTGATTGCTGGCTGTTTACTATCCTAATATTTTTTTGCTAGCAGATTAAGAAAAATAACTGAGCTCTTCCCCTCCTCCTCCTCCACAAAATCTGGCTTTGCGTGCACTCAGGGAATCAGGTCATGGAGCTAAAGGATATGTTCAGATACCAGGGGATGTTAGACTGCAGCTATGCTCCATCCCCCAAGTTATTTAAATAGAGAGGAGCCTTCTGAAGGGCAAGAGCTCGTTTTAACAGGGTTCCCAAAGGGATGTCAGGGCATTGGTGGGATTGATGGAGCAAGCAGGGGTAGGGTTTCATGCTGCCCCAGCCACCAAATGATCAGATCTCAGAGGTGCAGCTCGGGAGTGGATCCAACATCCATCCTGAGCAGCTCACTAGCCAGCAAGTTGGAAAAAAGGGCAGTTGGAAAACCAGAGTAATTAGCGGAATGGCAGGAATATGCAGGTCAGTAGAATGATTGTTATTATTAATGGTTATTATTACAGCAGTGGGAAGGTGCTGCATATGCTGATCTGGGACCTGTGTACGAAGAATTGTTCATGAACATTTCTAGGCAAGTGCTGCTCAGCTCTCAGAACACATTCTGGAACCTCTGCACCCCGTTTCCTCTCTTTTCTTTTTCCTTTTTTCCTGGTGGGAGCAGGGCAGGCTCTTTTGCCCTTTGATGGTGGTTTCCCCCTGCCTGATGCAGCTTTTGTCTGCAGTGACTTTTTCAGAGAAGGATAAGAATGGACAGGGCTTGGAGCAACCTGGTCTGGTGGAAGGTGTTCCTGCCCATGGCAGGGGAGTGGAACAAGAAGGTCTTTCAGGCCCCTTCCACCCCAAGCCATTCTGTGATCCTGTGATCCAGTGATTAGGACCTGTCTGGCAGGTGACCCCATGGGAATCTTTTCTGTGCTACTGGGCACGTCACTGAGGATGTGATTACAAGCTTTGCTCCAGACTCTGCCCCAATTCAGGTTTTCCCACCCACTCACCCGATTATGTGGAGTGGATGGAGGCCCTGGGGCTCTCTGAGTGGGATTGCTCCCACATGAACATTGTTCCTGCCACTGGGATGGCACAGGCACCCACCACGGGTGATGCTTGGCTCCGTCTGCTTGGTGTGTTTGCTGCCCAAGGGGTGTGTGGGCCATGAGACTCGCTCCATCCTGCTCTTTACCGTGCCCCTTGGACACTTGGAGTGGTTCACCCTGCAGGACTCATCGCTCCATTGCTGCCACCTACCAGGCTGTAGGAAGCCTGGATGCCCAGCACAGCTGTGACACTGCTCTGAAGGGTCCATGCCATCCCTGCCGGGCAGAGGAAAACCAAGAGGCACTGGGGACAAATAGATGCTGATGAATCAACCATGCCAAGAAGTGAACCTTGTTCTCGAGGAGAGCTGGATCTTGCCAGCACAATAGCTGGATTACAAAGCCATTTCCTCCAATTACCTTCTCTGTCAAATCTCTGTGTTGTCTGGCACTAGGAAAGCTTGGATTCAAATTCATTGTGAATTGGGGCAACGACACCAGAGATTTCTAAATTAATATCCTGCCAAGAGGAATTGAGCTTGTTTTTTCCAGTCATGTCAGTTCTGATTCCTTTGCTTGTCAGAGAAAACTTGGGCATGCCATCTGGTTTCAAGGGCACGGAGTAAGGAATCATAGGTTGCTCAGCCCAGCACGTTGAGTTTGTTGTGCAACAGCTGCAGGGAGCTTTGGGGGGGGGGGGGGGGGAAAGAAAAATGAAGTAAAAGGGCTTTGTGGGCCCTTCTTGGCACCTGGCAAAGGGCAGAGGGGGAGACCAGAGGCACAAGGTGCTGGTGAAAAGGAAAAAGAGGGTATGACCTCTTCCTTGGAACAGTGGGAATGTGCACAGCAGAGAGGACTTGGATGAATTACTGCCCTCTTCATGTCTTCCCAGTAGACAGTCACGAGCCATTCTGGATGCATTAACCATGGACTGCTTGCTCCACAGGCTGCATTAAATACATTCAACTGAGTGCCAAAGAACTCCTTGGCACCACAAAACCCGTGGACCTTAAAATTTCCAGGAAAGGAGCAGCAACTGTGCCACTGAGCTGGGGCCTGGTGTCTGTCTTACCCCAAACTCATGGTTTTACAGGTCAGAATGGCCCTAGGATGGAGGTCTCCCCAGCTGAGGTTAGGAATGCTGTGAGCCTGGAAGGTGAGCTGTGGAGGGGCAGGGGCAATTGGGAGGGGCTGCATGTCCTTGTCCTGTTGCAGACAGACTGGGACAGCCTTCAGAAAAAGAGGGGTGCAGGTTGTAGGGAAGGGCTGTGCAGTGGCAGGGAACAGCTTGGTGCCTGGCACATCTCCTTCTGTAGGAGCAGATTTGGAGAGATGTTTTGTGTCCCTCCTTTCAGCTGCCAGTGGGCAGAGGAGCCTCGTGGGGTGCCCCAGAGCTGAGCCCCCACAGCCGGTGCCGCTGGGGCTGCACAGCTCCTTTGTCAGGGCACCAGACGTGTTCACTGGGCCCCCAGCCAGCGGGTCACCTCTCTGCAGAGGCCCCGTCAGCCCTGGGTGCCAGCATTCCCACCCAGCCCTTGGGAAGGAGCCACCTGCTTCCCCTGGGCATCCCTGCCACCAGCTGCAGCTGCCAGCCTGGGGACCGGGGCCGGTCCCTCCCCTCCGGCCCCTTCCAGCTGCAGGAGCAGGGCTTGGGGCATGCAGTGCTGTCGGTGCCAACTGCCAGCTGGGAAGGGGGAGGCTGCTGCTGTGCCAGCAGCGAGTTTGGAGAGGCTTCCAGACCTCCCCCCTTCGTGAACTGTTTGTACAAACCATCTGCCTGAGCCGGGGTTTGTGGGGAGCACACGGAAGGAGGAGCTGGGAAGGCGCAGCAATGGGTGATATCCCTCTTCCCTTCATATTATCCCCACATCCTGCCTGGGGCTGCCTGCACTGCTCACAGCAGGATGGAGGGATGGGCTCTCCGGATGCGCCGGCAGCTGCAGAGGTGCTGGTGGTCAGTGCTGGGGGCTGTGTGAGCACCCCACTTATCACCCCCACACACCAGCAGCCGCTCCTTATCTCTCTTCCCAGCTGGCATGGTCCATGCCAAGGCTGGAGCTGGAGAAATCGGTCTCTGTGTCACCCTCTTCTGAGCTGGTGGGTTGTGCTCTCCCTGCCACTGGTGCTGGTGCCTCCCTTGCTGTGCCTGGGCGGGCGCTGGGGTGTTTTTGGGGGCTGTGCTGGGAAATGCTGCTTGTGGCTCCTTCGGCGAGGGGCTGCTGGGGGCTCTCTCAGCCACGGCTTTATAAATTCAAACAGATGGGTTTTAGAAAACCCCAGCTTTGAGACGTGCTCTCTGTTTAAATGGTTTCGGAGGAAATTTGCACTTCAGTGGATGTGCGGAAAAATGGTGTTTTCAAAGCGAAAATGAAATGAAAACCAGCCTTCCCCCTTCCTCCCCCAGTGAAACCCTATTTGCAAAGTGGGGCCTCTGTTTTGAGGTATTTGAAGCACACAGACATCCTTCTTCTTGCTTCCTCCGCTTTGCTGTTCTTTTCTTTGCTTCTATTTCCCGTATTTTCTTTATGTCCCAGGTCCATTCTCAGAGAGCTCTCAGCTCCCCTTGTCACTCGGAGGGTGTAGGGTGTCAGGAGAGAGCTGCTGAAGGGTTGTCTAGTGTATTAAATACCTATACTTTCCATTTTTTTTGGATAAAAAGTGCTCAGAACTGAAATTCTCTGTAGAAACTCTCTAGTTTTTACACACATCAGGCTTTATAATTTATGCCTGCTTCCCTGAGGCTGTACCTGTGAGCAGCTGCCTTGGGTCCTGCCTGTGCCCAGGAAGGAGAGTGGATGGATTCCCAGGAGCTGCTGGTTTACCTGTGGATGGGGAGCCTGTTTGCACTGGCAGCTTGATAAAATCCTCACATTCTGCTGCATATCCTTCCCTCTCTGGCTGGGGGGATGATGGGGGGCCTTTTCCAGATGGAGTGACAGGACAAGGGGGATGGATTCAAAATGCCAGAGGGAAGGGTTGGATGGAATATTGGGAGGAATATTTAATGCTGAAGGTGGGGAGGCCCTGGCACAGGTTGCCCAGAGGAGCTGTGGCTGCCCCATCCCTGGAAGTGTCCAAGGCCAGGTTAGAGCAACCCGGTCTCGTGGAAGATGTCCCTGCCCATGGAATGAACTGAGCTTTAAGGTCTCTTCCAACCCAAACCATTCCATGGTCCTGTGCCCAGAGGGCAGATTTAAGGCAGGGAGGTTGTGCTGTGTAAGCCTGTGTGTGTGTCAGCTTGGCTGTGGTGTCCTGAGCATGGAGACCTCTGAGGGGGGATCCACTGGGTGACGGAGGCTGTGGAGAGTGATGGTGTCAGTCCAGAGGGGGGCAAAGGCCCCCCGGATGCTGGTGGGGCTGGGATTTGGAGGGATGGTGCTGGATACGGGGGAGGACAGACCCGGCACTGCGGATCGGTGGCAGCGAGACCCTGAGTCTGTGCATTGTCCAAGGAGCTGCTCATGTGGTCTCAGTCGAGCCAAAATACTCTTTCAGAAAGAGAACGGGCCAGATGTCTCATTATTGCTGCTCACAATGCTGCCCTCCCAGCCCAGCGATCCATCAGGGGCTCGGCACAGCCCCACAGAAAGGTCCCTGACACGTTCTTACAGCAGGGCCAGGTTCTCACCACTTGTGTGCATTTGTGCCCCTTGACAAATGGCTGCCGGGCTCCGGTTTTGTTCCGAGTGGCGCTGGTGTCAAGCACAGGGCTCCTATTCAAGTGCCCACCAACGGTGGCCCACAACTCACCGCTTCCTCTCCTTTTCTTGCTTTGTTTCCCCATGACAGTCACTCGGGAAGTTTTTTGCAATCTCACTGGGTATTTTTAAAGACAATTTTTAAGGGGCAAAGGAGCGCCTCTATAGCAAGGACTGTAAAAATGCCTTGGGAGTACACGAGGTGAGGAATTCCTGCTTGCGTGGCTGCGTTGCTCACACAACATTTAATTGCCTTTTTCTTTTTTTAGGCAATTTTTCCAACAAGTTGATTTATGGAATTGGCTGGCAAAGCCTTGAATACATTGAGAAATACAACTTCTACAATGGACCAACACATCCTTAAGGAATGAATGGTTCCTCTTTAAACTGGGAGCTGTGCTCCTGGCTGCTCTGAGCACCTTGGGAACGGAGGAGGATTAGGACCAGGCTGTGAACTGCGGTGTTTGTCCTGCTGTGTAAACCTGTATGGGTAAGGTGTTGGCTTTAAACCGCATTCTAAGTTATGTGTGTGCCCAAAATTGCCTATAGAAAGTGCCCCAGAGGAGTCATGGTCTGTACAAAGACACAGCACAAGGATGTCCCAGCCTGCAGAAACTGGCAGTGTGAGCTCCCAGGGTGCTGGTAAAACCCAGGCAGGCCAGTCCATGCAACCCCGGGTGCCAGTGTGATGTTTCTGTCCAGATCTTCTGGTTATGAAAAGTTTGGGTTTATAAATGAGGAGCCCTTTGTATTCTCCAGACAGTGACTTTCTGCCATATTATCTCACTGCAGTTCCCCTCTGACTTCAGCGAGTATTTTGTGCGCTCAGAGAGCGTTTTCCATCCCTTGAGCCTGAAAGGGAAGAGGATTTATGGAATGGGGAGCTTGAGGCACCGACTCAGCAAATACCAGAGTATGTATGTAAGTGTTTGCAGGTCGGAGATGGAAGTACACTAGTGGTCTTGATCATCTTAAGCCACTCTGTTGCTGGGTCCAAGGGCTGAGCTGGGAGCAGGTAGCAGAGTTTGCACATTGACATTTTCAGCTGCCTTGTCTGAGGAGAGCTTTCCCTCTGCCCTGATCTTGCATCTTCTTCCAGTTAGCCTGTTTAACAGACTTACAGCTACCCAGCTCCACATCATGTTGTCAGTGCAGCAGGTTCAATTATCTTCTTATGGTCTTAATCTCCATTCTCTTCAATTTTGGCAGGTACATGATGATGTCTGTGACCCATTAGTGTTTCTCTCTCTTTCTGACCTGTTGTTGTCCCCCCTAATGCTATTGTTATGGAGATTTTTGGTGGCCCTTCCTATGTCTTACACTTTCAGTAAAGATCAGCTTTCACTCCAGCCTTCAAAGTCATCCCTTGCTTCTTTCTAGCCAGGTAAAGCCTGGGGGGATCCTGTGGCAGATAATGTGAGCGTCTCGACTGGTAATTATAAAGCCAGGATCTGTAATTAACTTTTCTATGAAACTCTCAACCCCAAGGTGTGCCTTTATCCCTCTATTAATTAGCACAGGGAAGGGACGCTCCTGTCTAGAGGCAGAAGACAAAAATAGGAGCAGGGGCGAAATAGAACTGGTTCCTTTGAATGATAAATATTGTTCCCTTTATGCCTTAAATAAAAGGAGAGTTTGGCTAAAACCGGGGGGGGTTAACTCTTGGAAAAACTGACTTAAACAGAATTGGAGGAAATAGTCCTGGATTAGGCACCAGAGACCTCTTCCAGCAAATTTCTCTCAGCTCAGTTGATACCTGTGTATTCTTGGTAAAGGTTTGTTCAACCTGTTTCTGGGACTGTTGAAATGTTCTGGTTTTGCAGACATGAGGCTTGGGAGCACACTTGGGTTTGTGTGTTAACCCCCGTGAGCTGTGGCTTTGGGAACAGACCATATATTGCCAGAGCTCTTAACATGTCATTATTTGCATACTTTTTTTTTTTTTTTAATATTAGCAATTTGGAAACAGTTTAAAAACTCTTCCATGGAAAAGACTGTCTAAGAATAGAGTTTTTTTCACAAACCTTCATGAGGAATTGATTATGCAGTCCTGTGTACTGGAAGGAGAACTTGATGTACCTCCATATAAATCTACAAGCAGCAGAACTTGTTCTGCCAGATTCGAAGCAAAGAGAAGAGTACCCCAGGGGAGAGGGTAATAGCCAACAAAAGCAGGTAGTGTCTGGCAAATCTTACTAATACTGGGGATTCAAAACTGGCCAAGCTGGAGAGCACAGCAGTAGGATACCTGTAGGACGCCTGCCTAAGGACTGAGCTTTGCCAAAGAAAGTCGAAGTAGGTAGTTGAAGTGTTTGTTGGTTGGCTGGACTAACTTAAAAACGAAAAAATAACAAACCCAAAAACTATTTCAGTTGACCCCACTGAAGGTTTTTGGGGGACTCTTGGGAGAAACACCATCTGCACAAGTGATGGCAGCTGAGTGTTCCCCCCTGTGATCTGCACTCATGGCCAGTAAGGGCTGCACTGTGATTGCATTTCCAAGCCTCCCATGTGTTTCCCAGTAGGAAGCTGATGGGAGAGCACCGTGCTGTAACACTGAGCTGCTCTGGAGGCATTTGGGTGGAAGTGTGTTAAGACATGATTTAAATTCACCACCAGGCCCAGACATTCCTTCCAGGAGGTCTAAGCGTGCTCGTGTGTCTTGGCTGTTCAGGTTCTGAGCTGCCATGGGCCTTCTGATTCGTGGGGTTCCTGGAGGCAGGCAGCCTCCCCAGTGGGGGTGATATTTGTGTTTGGGGTTTGTTTTGCTCATTGCACAATTCCTTGGAATAACTAATGCCTTTCACCTTTTCCTCTGCGTCCCACTCGGTGACTCAGGGCGAAGGCATCTGACTCAGAGCAGTGTGTTTGCTGGGCTGCTTTGTGCTTTTCCAGATGTGCAGGAGCTCTGAGACGATAATTGGAATGGGGATGAGTGTTATGAGTGGTGCTGGTGCTCAGCTTCAGTTCTCCCAGGAGGTGGAAGGGAGTGAGGCTTTGGCATTATACAGAGGACCCTCATTTTCCATCCAGTTACGGTTGATGACACCCCTTTGGATCTGGGACGCGTGGGAGCTGTTTTATTCTTGGCAAGTGTTTCAGGTGAAACCACCACTGAGGTGGTGTGCCCAGGTGGCCAAGAAGGCCCAGGGCACCTCAGCTGTGCCAGCCATGGTGTGTCAGAGGACCAGGGCAGTGCCCACCCCTGTGCTGGGCACAGCTGAGGCCCCTCGAGGGCTGGGCCCAGTTCTGGGCCATCATGGAAGAGACACGAAGGGGCTGGAGCGTGTCCAGGGAAGGGAACGGAGCTGGGGAAGGGGCTGGAGCAGCAGGAGCAGCTGAGGGAGCTGGGGGGGCTCAGCCTGGAGCAAAGGAGGCTCAGGGGGGACCTTCTGGTTCTGCAACCCCCTGACAGGAGGGGGGAGCCGGGGGGGGTCGGGCTCTGCTCCCAGGGAACAAGGGACAGGACAAGAAGGAAAGGCCTCGAGTTGTGCCAGAGGAGGTTTAGGTTGGATATTGGGAACAATTCCTTCATGGAAGGATTGTCCAGCCTTGGCACAGCTGCCCAGGGCAGTGGTGGAGCCCCCATCCCTGGAGGGATTTAAAAGCCATGTGGATGTGGCACTTTGTGGCATGGTTTAGTGATGGCCTTTGCAATGCTGGGGGAATAGCTGGACTCATATCTTAGAGGGCTTTTCCATCCTTAACAGTTCTATGACTCTGTGAAAGTAGTGGCTTCAGGGTACTCTCTGCAAGATGCAGTGGTTCAGCACAGATCCTCCCTGGAGACAGCCTCACGAAATGAGGGTCCAAAACAGGGAATTGTCCAGGCCTCCCTACTTACCTCCCACCTCTACTCAATCTGGTTGATCATGGAGCCATTAGGGTGGCTTGAAGTTCTACCTCTTCATTACCCACCATCATCCCTGTCTCACTGCAAGGAGTGTCCAGGATCAAGCCACGCAGATTTCCAGAGCCAGAGCAAAGCAAAGCAAACTCTTAAATTCGTCTAACTCTTGAAAGGCCCTCAGATGCTGTGATATGGGGCCCAGAAGTGCTCGGGTTGTTAGCTGCTAATAACTGTGGAGGGCTGCCAGCGCTGGGAACAGCTCGTGCTGTTGTCACAGCACAGGGACAGCTGAGCAACCGAGTGCCTTCCTGGAGGTGTTCCTGAAGAGCCTGATGGGCTCAAACTGAGGGGGTGTTAGTGTTGGGAGGGACCTTGAAGTTCATCAGCTTGAGGCTGTTTCCTCTTGTCCTGTCTCTTGTTCCATGGGAGAAGAGCCTGACCCCCACCTGGCTACAACCTCATGGCAGGGGGGAGGAAACTTCTTTAGGTGACACCTCTGTATTTACCTGAAGAGAACCAAAGCATTAAGAAGTGTGAAGGGCTTCTTAGACTGGCCAGCACTTCTAGCTCGTGTTATCAGTCCATCTGTACAGAAGCCCTTATCCAAGGCTAGACAAGGCTGAATGCAACTAGTGAGGATATATTTGTGTGCTGTGACATAACTATAGCCCTAGGCTCTGATTCATGTGCTAAGTTGGTACTTCTGAGTGCTATAAGTTGTGCATTACATCATTAATTAACCATTAGGAGAGCTGTAGACATTGCATACATTTAGTTCATAACTGCTACCCCTGTTCATCACCCACAAAACTGATCATTTTGTGACCCTCTAACACATGAGTAGCAATGCCATCGTGGCAGCACCTTGCCTTTCTTAGGACTTGGGATGTCATCAAATTATGGGGCATCCCAGACATCTCTAAAATGTGTGTCTTAATTTATTCCAACCTTGAGGATATTCTTAGGCTGTTTTGCTGATAAACTCTTCAAAGGATGTGCATGAACCCTCATCCCCCACTCCCACCACTTCTAAACCTTGGCTTGGTCAAGGATGCTTGTCCAATATTCCACTGTCCCGAGCCTTGAGCTGAATCATTGTCCCTTATCCTTCTGTGGAGGATGTTAATGACTTTGCAGCCCATGTACTCCTAAATGTTCCTTACGTGACAAACTAGCCACTGAAGTCTGGCGGGAGTCTCCTTAATGTTTGTATTTATAGGCCCAAATGAGTATGGCCCTGTGGAGATCCTTGCCTCCTGCAGTGATTCCAGCTCCAGCCTGTGTGTTCCTTGTCAGTCTAGGCTTGGAAGGGGTCTTAAAGCTCATCTCATTCCAAACCCCTGCCATGGGCAGGGACACCTTCCACTGGCCCAGGTTGCTCCAAGCCCCGTCCAACCTGGCCTTGGACACTTCCAGGGACCCAGGGGCAGCCACAGCAACCTGTGCAAGTTGAGTCAGGATCTTAGGTTTAAAGAAGGCTTAAATTTTAGTTCATTCCCAGTCCAGGTTAGAGGCTTTCCTGTGTAATGGTGAATATGGGGGAACTAAAGGCAAGATCCTGATTGCTTCATGCATGACATATAAATCTATCCTGGATAAAAGTAGTGCTCAAAATCATCTGATGAGGTTGTCAGGGCAGA